GAAAAGCAGAAAATCCTCACATTTGTCAAGCCAAGCAAGAAGAATTTCTTAATGCATATCTCAGGGACTTTAAAATCCCGAAACCGAGGGACTTGTTTGTGTTACAACATATAGGTTTGATCCGGTTAGCACAGAAAAGAACACACGACATGCCTTTGTCTTGGTGTCACTATCGAGCAGAGTTCTTCCCAGCATAGAAACTTACTTGGTGCACCGCAAAGAGGTTTTAAGGTTTTAGGATTAAGCGGTGTATAGATGATGGATGGATGGATTTTTAAACCAGTTTTGTGAATTGGTGTTTCGATGGCGCAACAGTGAAAAACACGTTTTTATTGATCAACACGTCAAAAGTAGCTGGAAAATGCTTCGACTTCTATCAAAATGTCATGCGTGGTCATTGGTTTGTAGACCAGTACACAGGTTTTCAAATGAAAGGACATTTGTCCTTCTTGTTGGTTCCTCAAGCCCCCTTATGTAATGCTGCTGCACTTTCTTTATCTTCAGGTGGCCTTGCTCTTCTGTCCTTTCATATCCTCTCTCATTCATCCTCACCTAGGACACCTTGAAGTGACTGCATTTTTATGACTTTTTACAACATTGCACGACCATATTTCAATTAACTACTTGTTCTCGTCCTCTCCCAGGTGCTGCCGCGACTCATTACCAGTGCTAACGACAGCCTCCTGTAGCTTCCTGCAATCGATCCGGATGACGAACCGAATCATGGCTCAGTTTGAGCTGCACCGAGCTCACCTCTGTTTGGCCCAAACCATGATCTGGGAGAGTAATTTTGGTTCACGTCAAATTAAACAGTCTGAAAATCTGGACCTAACATTGAAGTCACATGACTAATCAGCTTGTTTTACTTCTCGTGTCTGGACAGCATGAAACCAGCTGACGGGAGAAGACAGTTACAACTTTCTGAACAGTTCTCCATAATTTTCTCGTTGAGCTAGCCAAAGTTTTTGTTTGTTCTTCAAGCTGCTTCCAACTTGCTTGGTAAATGGAACCAACTGCTACTATTGGAGACCAAGCACAGCCCTTATTGGCAACAGCAGCCTTCCCCTGCAGCCCAATACTGCCCAATACGCTGCAACTGCTCAGGAATGACTCGAGGAACACAACAGCCCAGTCTCTGTTAAGACTCCTCAAATCCTAATCAAATCGAGGGCCTTGGAAACAAGCCACAGAGGCCCCATCCCGAAACCCACATAACCCAAACGATCCGCTGCCAATATTATATTGCCGAACCTCAGGGGTCCCATGTCCGTGCCCTGATAGGTCAGAGCTGTTTTAGCAGCATATTAGGGTTGTTTTATGGTTTCCACGTGACCGATGAGGACTCGTTCACACAGTTCGAGTCTTACTACAATAAATGTGCGTCGGTATGCTACACAGAGGGACGTATTGCCCCTCATATCGAAGACAGGAAAACACACCGGGCTCCTGTGGAAGTTTCCTAAAAGCCGACTGTGACTTTGCACTTTTTACAGGACGTACCAGCTGGTTACGGATCATTATTCCTGAGTTACTCCAGGATTATTGGAGAAGTTTAACATCCTGCTATGGTTGTTAATGACTGACCTTTATTTGATTAATTTAATTATTTAACTAATTTAAAAAGCCTTCACTGATCAGACAAAAGACGAGGGACGTGCATGTCAGATAATATATTGTGCATTAGCTGCAATACCTCGTTGCACCACCAGGTGGAGCATCTGATGGTTTATTGGGATGCTGTCCATTTGCTGTGTTGCATTTAACGCTGTAGCTATCTGAGGAAGCAGTCGCTCAGATTACGGTTCTGTGTTAGCTAGCAGAGAACATTTAGCTAGCAACGGGTCACCATGACGGAGCGATTAACGACTTTCCAATCAGAGCTCACGCATCAAAAACAAGCTGAAGAGTGGCTAATGTAACTGACTTCAATGGTTAATGTCAGCGGGTAAAAATGGCGTCGTCGGCATATAGGAAAACATCCTTTATATAGTTTTAACAATTAATAAATTATCGACTAACATAGTTAACTATGGGTTAAGAAAATTATTTATCTTTTATTACTTGGTGCACCTGATAGAAAACGATGAAGCAGCCAATCAAAGCGCTTCCAAAGTCCGGCAGCAATTACAACTCTTTTAATGAGTAATTAAAAAGTGATTTTCTCACTCTTGGGCGGACGACAAAAATTTACAGTGAGCTTGGGACGCTCGTAAGAAGGTGTAAACTGGCTTTTGGAGGCACTCCATTTTAATGTTGTGGCAGATAATATATTGCACATTAGCTGTAATACCTTGTTGCACCACCAGGTGGAGCATCTGACGTTTTTTTTTGGGATGAAAGACTGCTGTCCATTTGCTGTGTTGCGTTTAACGCTTCAGCTATCTGAGGAGGCAGTCGCTCAGATTACAGTTCTGTGTTGGCTAGCAGAGAACATTTAGCTAGCAATGGGTCACCATGACAGAGCGATTAATGACTTTCCGATCAGAGCTCACGCATCAAGAACGGGCTGACGAGTGGCTAATGTAACTGACTTCACCAGTTAACGTCAGCAGGTAAAAATGGCGTCGTCAGCATATAGGAAAACATCCTTTTTATAGTTTTAACGATTAATAAATTATTGACTAACATAGTTAACGATAGGTTAAGAAAATTATTGCTCTCTTCCTACTTGGTGCAGCAGCAAATCAAAGCGCTTCCAAAGTCCGGCAGCAATTACAACTCTTTTAATGAGGAATTAAAAAGTGATTTCCTCACAAATCTACAGCCGGCTTGGGACGCTTGCAAGAAGGTGTGAACTGGCTCTTGCAGGCAGGCAGGCGCTTTAAATGTTGTGCCGGATCAGCGCGGCGCAAATGGGATTGAACAGAGCCTGCGAGGTTCACATTGACACTCTGAATCAAATCAGGGTACAAAGTGAACAGATCACTGGAAGCCCCTCCTCCTATCCGTCCACATACATGTGACGTAAGCCGGCCGTGGGACCTTGGAGGGGGTGGAGGCGCTGGGTGGGTGGGGAGTAGTGGGGCAGCGGCAGCCTCCACACAGCCGCGGTTATGTAACCCATCTCAGACGTACATACACATGCATGCACATTCGCACACATGTACACACACACACACACACACACACACATGCTGAAGCAGGAGGGTAAGTGGGGTGGGGATCCGCTGGGTTTCTTTCCTGTCTCTCCCTTCCTCACCCTCCTCCCTCCTCCCCTCTCTGCTCGCTATACATTAAGCCTCAACCTCAGAAAACCAGGACACCGGCCTCGCAGCTAAAGGAGGGAGGGGGAGGACGTCAAAAGAGGTCACGTCTGGCTGCTGGCAGAGATTATGGCTTTGCATGTATGTATATGTACACACTATTTATACACGAGCTTTCTTTGCTTTGTGTGACTCACTGCAGCAGCCGTCTTCTTTTTTTTTTTTTTTTCTTTAAGGGCGCCTAACAAAGGTTATATTCTTTATTAATTTCCTGTTGAGAAACCCTCCCAGCCGGCATGTACCTGCAAAACATATATTAACTGCACTGTTTGCATTATTTATCCTGGCACGGTATATCATAGCCGTTGCTCCACTTTCCCTCCAAGAAAGAAAAAAAAAAAAACCCCACACCTAAAGGAAGGAAGAAAGAAAGGAAGGGACAGTAAATCTTGCCGAAAACTAATACAAAAAAAAATTCAGAAGTGGGTTAGTGGGGGAAACTCTTGTAAACACAGCGCCTCCTGTGGAATTTTTAGCACTCGAGGGAAACGCTGTTCTTTGGTTTGATTTTCGTGACAGTTTGACAGAATGTCACATGCATGCTCGCCACGTCTGAGGATTTAAGACATTAAAAAAAGTGTGAAAAATGTCACGTCGCATCCAGCTGAGGGATATTAGGTGGAGTGACGGCGTGCTGTGGATGATGCACGCTACAGGGTGGGTGGGTGATGTACAAGTCACAGAAATTACAAGTATTTTGTTTCAGCAAGAGAACTATCCCTGTAAATGAAAACAAGAGGGCAGGAGGGGGTCACAGTGTGCTCTACGATTGGAAGTAAGGGCTTCATTCATGCCACCCTGAGCAAAAAAAAGGTGATTAAATGCCCCCGAAGTGAGTCACAAACATCTGACAGGTCTCGCAAATGAAGCGATGCAGGAATCCTGAAGGTCCTCCTGCTAATCCTGCCTTTATTCTCGCCATGCACACACACAATACACAGCGGACTATTAGTATTATGTGAAACTCAATACATGACACCATGCACACACACACACACACACACACACAACACCACCACGCCTCACCCTATAGGAGCAGCTATAGGATGGGGGGGTGGAGGAGCCACATTTCATATTTCATGCCACCCTGTGTGACACATGCATGATTCATATCAAGTCTCCAGGAGCATCTCAGCCACACTTTGGCACACTTTGGAGCTGCAGTGCACAAAATAATAATAATAATACCCACAACCAGCACAGTGGCACCACCGTCCCTGCTGCTCGCCACCTCCCCGGGTGCAAGGATGTAGGTTAACAGGTTCACACAATGTGATGACAGCGGAGGAAGCACATGGCATCCATGTAGGTCACCACCGGACTGGTAGTTTTCTCAAAGGGCACGCAGAGGGGACGGCCCGGCTGGGGAGCTGCAGTGCTGCCGGCCGGCCCCGGCGCGTCTGCATTATCCTATAGGTAGAGTACAGTAAAGCAGGCCGGCGCAGCGCCCGGGTTGACGTGAGGACAGCGCTCACCTTGCACCGCCGTCCCCGCCGCCGCCGCCGCCGCCGCCGAGCAGCTCCACTGTATTTCCTTACAAGTGCACTAAATAGTCTCCGGTTCAAAACACCTCCAGCAGACGCGAACCCAGCAGCGAGCGGGCGAGCGAGCGAGCGAGCCGGGTTAACACGTGAAGAAGAAGAAGCAGCAGCAGCAGAAGGGGGCTGGGAGAGCAAACAGGCAGAAATACAAACACACAGAAAAAAAAGAAAAAAAAAACAGAAGAAGCCGCTTTACCGTCTCGGTCTGCTAATGCCTCTCCCCCGGTGTTAGCTTCCCCCTTTCAGTCCGCTATCAGGTGCGTGGAGACGGGAGAGCCGCTGCTGCCGCCGCCCGGGACTGCCAAAGTCATGGCCACGGTGTGCGGAGGGGAAACTCTCTACCAGCGTTTACTCGCTTTCTAAGCTCGGTCCTCCCCCATGCCTGTACAGTACGGGTGAATGCGGGTCAGGAGGAGCGGGGAGCGGTCTCGAGCGGAGCGGAGCCGCCGGGGATGATTCATCACCAGGCTCCGCAGCGCCCTCTACCGGCCGGAGAGCGGCGCCGCGGCGGAGGGTTACATAATCCCGCGAGCCCGGAGAGCGAAGGGGCGATGTTTTTATGAGCGGGGGCCGCGCGAGAGGAGGCAGAGAATAAAAATAATATTATTAAAAAATATCTAAATAGTCCACCTTTAGTTTTATGCTCCTACTGATGATTAATGCGCACTGTTTATATTTTAAATTATTATTTATAATCTCTGGCTACACTTACTTGCAACGCTTTTTAAAAAAAATATTTTTATATAACATTTTATATTATTTTATTTTTTTTATATTTAACGCACACTGGTAATATATATTTTATTGTTACTTATTTTTGTATTATTTTATATTACTATTTTATATCTCATGTTTTATATGACTTTTCAAAATATTATTTTTTATGTAACAATAATATTTAATGTATGTTTTAGTGTTTATTCACCAAAACACCAAGTTTTTAAATATTTTTTTCATATATATAACATTTTTGTCAATGCTCCTATACATGAATAATGCACACTGTTAATGTTTATTTTTTATTATTATTTATAATCTCTTTCCACACTTACTTGAGACACTTTTTTTGTAAATCTTTTTTTATGGCATTTTACATTATTTTTATTTTATGCTCCTACACATGATTAAAGCGCATTGTTAAGAATTATTTTATTATTGCTTATTTTTATATTATATTATTTTGCTGCATTGTGTTTTATATTACTTATTTTTGTATTATTTTTAATGTAGTTTTTCATATAAAATTATATATTATTTTTATTTTATGCTCCTACTGATGTTTAATACACAGTTAATATTATTTCTAATCTCTTGCTACACTTACTTTCAACACTTAAAAAAAAATATGTTATTATTCTTATATAACATGAATATTTGATGTATATTTTAGTGTTTATTCACCAAAACTCCACGTTGAATTTCTTGTATATGACAACCTACTGACTGTGAAACCCACTTTTATAAACTTGCTTTTGTTTGAAGTTTTCTTTTAGCTTTAATTAATTTTAGTGTTTCTGTATTTCTGTATAACTCATCTTTGTTTCATATGTTCTCTCTTGTTTAATGTTAATTCTTGCTGCCTAGTTCTTTGGTGTGATGTCGTCTTTAATTCTTCCATCTTTGATTTTTAACTTTTAATCTTCAGTCTTCTTTTATTTTTAAACAGCCTCGTTCCTTTGTTTGATATGCATCCTGTTCCAGCTAATTATTCATTGAATCTATAGTTCTGACTGTCGAAGCACCTTGTGAGCGCTGTTCTTAAAGGTGCTATATACATAAAAAATAAAATAATTATTATTTATGTAACTGCTTCTTCATTTTAGATAGATGACTAACCACCATCAGCTAATTGATTAGTTGTCAGCCACTAAATCAATCTCCATCTATTTTGCTGACCAATTAGTCAGCTTGAGCGATGTTTTTAAGTGGGAAAAAAAAGTCTAAACTCTGAAAATCCAGCTTTTTAAATGTGAATATTTTCTGTTGTCTTTCCTCCTCTATGATTCAAACTGAGTTTCTTTGGGATGTGGACACAATTAAAACGTCATTTGGGGTTTTGGGAAACACTAATCAACATGTTTCCACCGTTATTTATTTAAAATAATCCGAGTGCAGCTTCGTAAATGTGAATATTTTCTGGTTTCTTGACAGTAAACTGAATACAAAACAAGACATTTGTGCTCATAGTGTTCTGACATTTTATAAACCAAACAAATGACCAGTTTAGTAAATAGTTGAGAGATTAATTGACAGTAGAAGCAATAATTAGCTGCAGCTCCACCACTAATTCTACTGATGAGCACAAGTTTGTGAAGTCATGACAACCTGCTGAAAGATTATTCAAACCAAAACTCTGAGAGTCACTTCTGACAGTTTGGCTCGGTGGTTAGCGTCATTGCCTCGCAGCTAAAAGGTCGCCGAGGACTCCTGGGATCTTTCTACATGGAGTTTGCATGTTCTCCCCGTGCAGCATGGGTTCTCTCCGGGTTCTCCAGCTTCCTCCCACAAAGTCCAGAAACATGTTGAGGTTAATTGGTGATTCTAAATTGTCCGTAGGTGTGAATGTGAGTGTGCTTGGTTGTCTGTCTCTAAGTGTAGCCCTAAAAAAATACTAGAAGAAAGTGCAAGAACGAACAAATATAGAATAAGAGTTGTTTCATGTGGGCCACTGAGCAGTAAACATATATAAGATCCCCCGTGTTTTGCTTAATTTTAATCATGCAATCTCAATAATAGTGGATTTTCCTTTTCACGGCCTGATGAGTTCAAGACCAACTCGAGCACTTCTGAGCGCAGATCCACTGAGGCAAGACTGGCATGCAGAGATAAGCAATACGCAGCTCCTATTGATTATTTAAGCTGCCGCCATGCATTAGAAACACGGAGCCGCGTGAAGTTCAGATGAGGAAAAAGGCAGAACCCCCGTGACCTCGGATAGATTTCCACAGCACAACAGCAGTTTGACAGTGGAAGGTGTGGTTGCATTCCTGAACATGAAAAAGGTTTATTTATGACTCACCTCCGACGACTATAGAACCCTGAGGTAATTCTCTATACGTCTGGTAGCGAGATTTATGACTGCATTTACACATTTGCACACAAAAAAAAAAAAAAAAAAGCAAAGCGTGAGTGAGATTCTGAGCAAAGAACTGCTTCCTCAGCACCGAGGCAAGGCCAGACTGAAGGTTTCTAATGCAGCAACGCACAGAGCTGGAAAATCTATACGGCTACATGTCATTTATTGTGTTCATATTTAAAGGAAAACTTCCCCACGAGTAACACGAGGCGGCAATTAATAAAAGCAGCAGAACTAGAGCCCCCCCGAGTCATGCATAATGAACATCGAAGAGGCCAAAGTTTGCTGTTTCATTAGCTGCCGCGCCGTTAAAGTTGATTTGGTCACAAACCGAACGTCATCATTTGTGCTTCAAGTGGCTCAAATCTTCCTCAGCAAAAGCACACGGTGTTCTTGTGGAGTGTGGCGCAGCAGAGGTGGAGATAATGAAGTCGAGGAGGGGAATAAATGTGAAACTGGGGACTTCTGCGCTACTGCTTTTGGTAAAAAAAAACGAGAAAAGGATTTGAAAATTCTGGATACATAAATCCAAGCTTTGTTGAACGTGGGCGGTTAAGGGAAGGGTTTAACATGTGGTTAACTCGTCGACACGTAGCAGGGATCCCACAAAATGAAGATATTGTTCTACGATTCGGCCTGTCATCCACATGAAAGCGCAGATTTATGGCATTAAGAACGATTCTTCCGACCAAAGTGAAGATCTGCGAATCCTCCGACGTCAACAACCGGGACTTTAGGTTTCAAAACTGCCTGTGACACAATATGTTCTTTACATCACACACGCAATCTGTGTTTACATTTGGAAACAGCGTGGACGCCCTCAGAACTGCATTGTCTCTTGTTCAGGCCCAGATACCGCTCCACGTACAAGAACACAGGACGACGTTAAGGACGGTTATCTTCTGCCACCTTGCCATTCCACGTCCGAGGCATGTCAAAGACACCGATGCTGGTTTTCAGTCAGACTGGGATGAACTTCGAGACGGAAATCGTGCTCCCGGAGGAATGGCGTGACGATTTCCGTACGCCCCGGTCGTCGCTCCGAAGTTATTACATCCTCACGTAGAATATGAATGTGCTTGTGAGGTGTGGATGAATTCTTTTCTAAAAACGAGGTGTTGTGTGCGTTTTTTTCTAGACGGAGGAGGCAGAATATTTACAAAAACCCTGCTACATGTGGACAAGGCCTTAGTCAGGGGCTTCCCAATCCTGGTCCTCGAGAGCCCCTATCCAGCATGTTTTAGATGTTTCCCTTCTTCCAACACACCTGATTCAAATGATCAGCTCATCATCAAGCTCTGCAGAAGCCTGATAACGATCCTGATCATGTGAATCAGGTGTGTTGGAAGAGGGAAGCATCTAAAACATGCTGGATAGGGGCTCTCGAGGACCAGGATTGGGCACCCCTGGCCTACGTCATCAGTTTTGTTGACAATCCTTCACAGCCAGAGACGAGCTCACTTCTCTGGTAAAGCTTCTGCTCCAGTCTGGTCTTCAGCAGCTCAAGTCACAGCAAAGATCATGCGATTGACTCGGTCAGTCGAGGATATCCGGGCCTCCAAATCCTGAAAAGCTCTTTGGCCGCTTTGCTCGTGTGCTTAATGAGTTTTGATGTGCGTGAACGTGCTCCTGCGTTCATCCCCCGGCCAGTCAAACCATCATTAAAACGCCACCTCCACTCGGCAGCCCGATCAGGTCTGACAGATGAGCCGCTGCTTTCCTCTTTCACTCATTTTGATTGTTTTTCTCCCCTCGCACACAACTCTCCAACTTTCTGACTTTTTTTTTTTTTGCACCTCGTTCAACTTTCCGGTCATCAATCAAACCGGTTCTTGATCTTCTCGACAGGAAAACACGTCCATCTGTATCCTGGAGAGCGTCCTGGACTCGCCGTGAACTCGTTTTCTGTTCTTCACCGTGCCAACGATTTCCTGTTGGACTCTAAAGATTTGTGCTCCTCGGTCGAGCTGCTCGTTCGCCATTAATCCTCATTATTAGCTTCCTCGCTTTGCATGCTCGTCTGTTTTCTCACGCTGACAGCGAGCCCCGCCTCCAAGTAAAGGCCGACTCGCAGCTCTTCATCAGCTCCAACGGAGACGTTTAGCATCCAATTACTTTTGAACCCTTAAAGGGACTTTATCACCCGTGTGAGCCTTTCAATTAGCATGACTGTTATTGATTAACCAATCAGCTCGTTTGCCATTAGTTTGAAAATCAGTGAAGTCGTTAATCTAAATTTTCTGACTCCAGCTTCTCTTTGATTCAAACAGGGCATCATCTTGGGATTTGGGAACCACCGGTTGACATTTTACACCATTTTCTCGGCTAAACAACTCGTCAATTAATCCGATTATTCAAAAAATATGAAAATAATCATCATCTCTAACTTTAACACTCATTATGTGACGAATCTGTTGAAACTTAAAGTCAAGAAAAAAGACCAGAGAAGCAGCAGAGTTTCTTTTTCCTGTGCATATGTGCTTTTTTTTTTATTGCAATAATACATCTGCATGTTGATATATATTTACACACCCACACACACACTCTCACACACACACACACACACTCACACACATTGCCAATGGTCAGAACAAAACTTTGGACTTTAGAAGCACTGAACACATGACATGAGAAAAAAAACTCCACAAATCAACCACCTGCTGTCTAAATCCGATTCACACTCACACACACACACTTGCATGCTCCCATTCAACAACAACAACAACAACAACAACAGCGCGTCCCTCCAAATCAAAACGTCCTGGACACACGTTTGTTTCCCTGCACATGCACCGCGAGCCGAGCTGGAACCCCCACGCCCCTCCCCCGCAAAAGATCCGCCGAGATAAAGGTTTCGTAGAGTCGATGTTAAAAGTGCAGAATATACATATAGAGTTTTTTTATTTTATTTTAATTTTCTTTAAATTTCTAACACTGATGATGCCATGGCAACACTAGCTAGACCGAACCGTACTGTACGCAACACAGACAGGCCAAACAATCCACATGACACTAACCCGGAACACCTCCATAGCCACAGGGAAGAATCATATACTGATATAGTACGAAATAGACTTATTCTCGTGATATACTGCCTTCTTTCTGTCTATATATACTATTTACAGAACGAGGGGGGGTATACTGTGTATTTAAAGGGTTTACATTTACACATGGAACAGCTTTTTTTTTTTTCTTCTTACAGCCACTACGTTTTCACTAAAAGCCTCGTATAGATTTACATCGTAATATTCCAAATCGGCATTTTTGTCACTTTTGCACGTGTTTCTGCTGCTCGTGAGGATACACACCGTACTGACGATAACTACCTTTAGCAGGACGAGAAATACAACAAATAGTATAGCTAAACACACACGTGGCTTCTAGTTCTTCTTCTTTTTTTTAGGGTAATTTTTTTACGCACAATGCACAAAACAGCACTTTTTTTTTTTTTTTTTTACAATCATCTATTGCAGTTTCTTTACAGATAACAGTTTAATAACAGTACGACTTCCAGTAGTTTGCTGTGATATGTCGATAAGTGTAACAGGTGACGATGAGCACGAGGAGGAGGATTATTCGGTGGTACTGCCGATGGAAACATGCGGAGACGAAGAGGACTTTGTGTGTGTGCTCCTCTTCTCGGACCGGGTTTGTATTATTTAGATAGATAGACGGACGAATGAGCAGACGGGAGGAAGAGCTCTTCTCCTTCTTCTTCACCTCCTCGTCTTCCTCGGTTTGTTTGGCGGGTGGCTCGCAGGTGGCGAGATGTTCGCTTCGGCCCTCCACCTCCTTCTACTCGTAGAAGCTGCGATCACTGAGAAAAGGGAAGAAGCAGAAGCAGAAGGATTTGTGTCCGTTTCCTGCATGTTGTGACCCCAACAACTCACTTCCTATTGAAGGGGGAACCTGTTTAGCAACACCAAGCATCGCGCAGAGAGTTAGAAGTCATCAGCAGGATTTAAGAGGTTAAAAAAAAAAAGAGAAAAAGGGCCAAAATTTGAATTTAAGAAGAGCCGGTGCAAGTCCTGTGCTACCAGAGGCCTGTACTACGAAGCAGGAGTTGAAGTTAGCGAGATAAGTTTGGGTTTAACTTCAGGGCTTCTTACTTAGGATAAAAGATCTACTAACCAATCAGTTCTCCTGGAAAATGGAGTCACCATTCCAGGAAGATCCCACTGAGCTCAGTGTATAGACAGAATAGAATTTCAAGGCCTGTTTCATAATTTAATACGTCTTTGTTTTGCGATAAAATCCTAAGTTTTGCATCTTATAAATTTGCAATCAGCCCACTTACCGGTTTGAATGATGCTTTTATATTTGCCCTTCCAAGACTGTTTAGCAGCGCCAGGGTTACAGCTGAAAGAGTAAAGCTAAAATTGTCTCAGATGCCATAAGAATACATCTAAAATACATAAATTGTTCAGTGATTTTAGTCAGATGTACTCGTGCCAGACATGGGCATGCTGAGGCAATTAAAGCTGCAGTATGCAAGAATTTGGAAAAGGCAAAAAACAAAACAGAAAGAAAAATGCAAAACTTTACAGCCCTACTGCTGCAGTCCTTCCCTTTCTGTTTAAAGCTCCTCCCACCAGACAAATGCACGAGAATAGTCAAGCTTAAAGTAAACATTCACGATTACCTGATCAGTTCAAAAACACCTGTGATTGGCCAAAATCTCCCATCACAGGCTAGATTTCCAAAAGCCTGAACATGGAGCCAAAAGGAGGTGTGGATTTCTGGTTTCCTCTTAGATCAGTATGAAAGTTTTGCCCAATACGGTCAACTCCAGCTTTGCCTTACGATTACACACCGTCTCGTATGTTTTGCCAGCTTTCCTTCTTGACTTTGGCTGCAGCAGCTGTTAGACTATACACTGCTTTCAAATTCCTCATATGGCTTTAGGATCATAGTTTGTTCTAAGTTGACTCAACAATTTGACAACCAGCTTTGTGTGACAGTTGTAGTGAAGCCAGATAATATATCTGTCTATGGTGAACTTGCTTCGTAGCACAGGCCCCTCAGGTCTTTTATTTAACATATAACCTCAGATATTAACATACACAAGCAACAACATTGTTATTAATTTTTTAAAAAAAGTTTGCAACAGTACAATACAGATGAATGGTGGGTAAAACAGCAAGGCTTGCATGACATCAGGAATGTCATGTTAAATAAATAAAATACATTTACAGTTGAACAAGATGATGATGGTAACTGAAGGGGTAAACTCATGCTATGTAAGATAAACTAACTGACAAAAATCAAGGTATTTATCTGATGAAAGGGATGTAAACATGGAAGGTCAAAGGGCAGGTTAAAGAGACTTTAAGGCCGGACTATTTAGAT